TCACACTGCTCGGTCGTTATTTTCTCCACGGTGAGATTTCGAAAAATTGAAAGGGATCTCTTGCGCTTCTCCCTCTCCCTTTTTCCCACACGTCTCGCAAGAGTGGCTGCAGTAGCTCGTTTTCCCGTCCCGCGAACGAAAATGATGAAAATAACAGAGCGAACGGGTTTCAAAATAATGGCATACGAGGACCGTTCGTGTTTTGAAAAGCACTCTTTTTCAAAAATGTTATTTGTAAATCATGGAGAGCGTCAATAGTCAGATTTATCTGGAATTGAGATTTTTATAAATATGTAGAAAACACGGGTTTCTCTCTCTCTCTTTCCTTCTCTTTCTCTCTTTCGATAAAATATTCTATGTTATTGCGACTTTAATTTATATTGACAAATTCTCTGAGCAAAATGAAAATTAATTTTTCCTTTTTTGTCAGTTTCCAGACAATAGTTTACTTCCGCGTAAAAATAATTGTCTTTTGAGTCATAATTATAAACGATTTAACATTTGCAAGTAAAAACGTTATAACAGGATATCAATAATTTCAGAAATACAAACGAACAATATAGTAGAGCTTTTTGCAAACTAAATTTCAAACGACCAAACAAATAACAAAATTATTTTCCTCTATCGGTCTAAAGTGAACGCTAACAGCATTTTATCTTGAGCTTTAGTCAGAAAGATATGTTACATTGCAAATTGAAAGGTCGCCATAAATAATGATCTCCCTCGACATTTTTAATGAGAAATTAATTTCAAATTGTTGAGAAAAACCTGTCGGTATGAACTTCGCGAGAATTGGAACAGTGTATACAGAGGAAGTATGAAAAGTCGATAAGTATTCCTTTTTTTTATCCATTCACTTCTCATACACACAACGTACTCTCGCATAATATCGAACGTAAAACGAGCCGCTATGAGTGCGAGAATATATTTTTAGGAAATGACTCGACAATGCACTCGCACCTGAGAAGACCCGGTTGTGGAGCGATCGAATGATCGGTAAGCCGACGTCATAATGCTCCCGTCAACAACAACGGGGTCGCGCTTCAGCATGAAAAACAATTCCTTCTGATGGAAGCGCCGGCTATAAAGCACGGAAGCCGTAACAATGGCGCGCTAGCTATAAACGAGCGCGCGCATTTCCATCCGCGTGGACACCGCGTGTGCGTTCACTCCGATTATTACGTAACAGCAACAAAAAGGACCACATTTTTATTCCGCACTTAACGCAAAGCGCTTTGATTCTGGTGTAATTCGCGCGTTTCTGTTCGTTCGGGCGTAACTTTAGCATCGCGCCTGGGGTTATTAGAGACTCACAAAGTTCGTCGGACTTCTTTTACCATTTCTTTTACCAAATAATAAATAAATAAATTCTATATCTAGTCGGACCAGTCTGCCATCGTTATCTATTACTTTTTGTCAGTTTCCAGACAATAGTTTACTTCCGCGTAAAAATAATTGTCTTTTGAGTCATAATTATAAACGATTTAACATTTGTAAGTTTTTACCAGTTTTTGTATAAGCCCTTGCAATATTGAATTACAAATTTTTCTTCCTCTTAAGAGGATGTTGAAGTGGATGAATAACTTAAAAAATATCGATCGTCACTAACACAATCACGCTATCCTTTTTGTATTTCTTGTACATACAGAACTTATATAAATGTATGATGTTTTGTTTTACTATATTAAGCAGAAAACCTGATCACGCATGTGTAGAAATCTTTATCCACACTTTTCCTTTTTCAACTCCATTCAGTGGAGTTGAAAAAAAATTATAGTAAAAGAACAAAACATATGTTTTTAAGAACGATGTTTGAAAAATTGATCTGAGTTAATTTTGTCTATGTTTAAGGTTCCAATTGCTAGTTAACAAGTATAAAATTTTGAGTTATTAATCAAAGAAGATTCGTGAATGATTACTGCCGCTGTATGCTTGTATATTAGGTCAAACTGAACAAAAAAGTCCTCTACCATTTTCCAAATGACTATGTAGATATTTGCAATTTTTCTTTAACATCCCCAAAGAGCACAAACGTTCAAAAGACGTCTTAAAGATGTCGAAAAACGTTTAAGAAAAAAATAGTCTTTAGGACTACTTTAAGATATCTTTGAGAAGTTTGTAATGCCTGGGTTTATTAACGAATAGGGGAGAAGGATCGGTGAAATAAAAGTCACCCAAATCATAAGGTCAAAAATGAGGGCGGCGTTTGAATGAAACGCTCTTTTCGTAAAGACGCAAAACAGCGGGCACCATACAATCGCCCACCCATATATCGAACGCTTACGCTCGCTCACTCGATTAATCGCACTCTCTGCGCCGCACGTAATCGCGTCTTTTTTTGCGATCACCGGTGAATCGTTTGCGAATGGGAAAAACCTTGCGGCCTGGAAATTACGCGCCAGTGAAGCCAGAGTTTTTCGGCTGGCCGCCGGCCTTTTTGTCCCCTCTAATCCGAACTTTACGATAAGGAGATTGCATCGAACGACCCGTTGTGAGTCGAGAGTGGCATTTACCGCTGCCGATTTGAAGGAACAACGTCGCTCGTCTCACGTGGGCGCACGTGTATGCGCGAAAATTGAATTAAATGCCGTCCCGGTCCCAACGATACAGTATTCTCTCAGTTCACAACGGCGCTATCTCCGAAACCTTTCTGGCGAATTGTTCACCTCTCGTTCGTGACGTCTGCGCAGCAATACGATTTAGTGCGTTGTCCACACAGAGAGAATTATTTGTTGAGTAAAATAGACGTTTCTTTGGAATAGTCCAAACAAATTATTTGGTTGACATAACAAAAATATTTCTTTGGAATTAAACCGTGTGTATATATTATTGTTGCGTCAAACAAAATTTTGTTCAATTAATAAAAAAAATTCGTTTGGACTATTCCAAAGAAATGTTTATTTGATTCAACCAAATCGTTTTCACTGTGTACCGACCGATTCAGTAAGGCAAAGATTTGATATAGATTTATATTTATATAAATAAGAAATCTTAGATAAGCTATTTTGTTTAAAGTTACATTGATTTATAGTAATTATTTAGAAAAACACACTTATATATAGCACGAATCATTTAGATCTTATATTATCAAAGTCATGGTCATGACTCAGTTAAAAGAGACATATCAACTAAGGTAGATTTCACACTAAACTAAGGTATATTTCAATAAACATTAATGTCACTGGCATAGATACGATGAAGGTTGAATTTTTGCGGGAGGGGGGAGAGTGCAAGGAGAGGGATCACCATACATATACTCATGTACGTACTGTTTTTACATATATCAGCAAATAATATACTTTAGCTTTAACATGTTAATTGATATGTTCTTTAAACATTTTTGTTAATAACTTCTTAATAAATAATAAGAGATGAAACCTTTTAAGGATAACTCAAAGTCATGAATTTGAAATATATTATACATTGACTAAATCGTGTCGTCAAAGTGATAGTAATCTCGTCCATATTTATATCAAGCACTCTAATAAACACATTTTGATATTGAAGAAAAATTTCTCTCAAAATCATGAAAAAAAGTATATTTTCCTAAAATCGTCGTTTTTCATGAAAGCAATTGTTTATTCCATCACAAAATGAAGGAATTTCAATAGAGGTAAATATTTTATGAGTACCTACCCAATAAATATTTAATAAATAAATTAATAAATTAATAAATATAATTAATAAATATTTTATTTTTCAGATATTCTTTCTTTTAGTGTAGCTAGATCTAGAGTTCTATAATATAAATAAAAGAGCGACATTGAGAATCGATAAATGCGATTATATATATTATATGCGATATATTCTTCTGTAACGTCAACTGCGAGTATGTTCTATTGCATTATTATTCTTTACTTGTTCACAATAATAGGAAATAATATAGCCCTGAATCACGTTCAATTAGCCAATCAGATGGTTTCCCTCAATGTCGCTTCTCTATTTATATAGGATTCTAGCTAAATCATACATCAGTAGGTATATTTTAACAAATAGTATATTTTAACAAATAAATGTCTCATACGTATTTTGATTTGTGTATAAATAGAGAAAAATATGTTATACAGCATGTCCGGTAACTCACAAAAGACTTGCAGTGTACAGGTAGATTAGATTTAAACTGAACAAAAAAATTCTTCTATTATTTTGCGAACAATCATGTAAAATTTTGAGTTATTGAAAGAATATTCGTAAATGATTACCCGCCATATAATAGATGAGTTGTGATGGCAACGTCTGCCGCTATATGCTTGTATATTAGATCAAACTGAACAGAAAAATCCTCTACTATTTTCCAAATGACCACGTACATATTTAGTTATTAAATTAGTTATTAATGAAGGAAGATTTGATGTATAGTTGTGCGTGTTAATGCACCAATTTTATTTTAATTAATAACTAAACATCTACATGATCACTTGAAAAATGATAGAGGGCTTTTTTGTTCAGTTTGACCTAATATACAAGACATATAACGGCAGTAATTATTCACAAATCTTCTTTGATTGATAACTCAAAATTTCATGTGATTATTTGTGTAAAATGATAAAAGAATTTTTTGTTCAGTTTAACCTAATCTACCTGTATATACCACGGCTCCGGTGAATTACCGGACACCCTGTATATGCAGTCATATGTAGTTCGCTACATTTTATTTGCGCGGTGGAGTGCAACCGAATTGAAATATCCAAACAGCTGTGTATCGACGTCGTGGCCCGTTAAGATGTCGACAAATTTGACGAAGCACAAAGTGTCCATAAACGCGACAACGTTCAGACTGGAAATGGATTGGTTTGACAGGCGATACGTGTGGTCGTCGACCCTTTTGTTTCGAGATCGATATGTCGCTCCGCGCGGCGTGTGTACGGTGCTGCATACAACGCGACGCGCTACGTCAAACACAGGTCGGCTTCCTTAATTTTATTAACCGCGTCGAACGTTCTCGGTTCAATGTTTGCCAGAGAGGGATGCGCGTCGCGATAAGGCCGTGCGATATTACGATGGAACGCTTGTCGCCCTGCGCGGCAATTTGCTTGCTGGTGCTTGCGACGTTTCACAGCCGGCATGTTTGTACCGTCTATCAAGGTATGCATTCTCCACTCCAATCCCGCTGAATTTTCCCTCCCATCGCGCTCTCATGCTTCGCATTTTCTCGAACGAAAATCCCATTAGAGATTCTTTCGGTCGTTAAGACCCCGAGCTGAAATTAAAGTTGCGGACTTATTCAGAGGGGCAGTGATGGATTGCTCCGTTCGACCGCTTCTCCTTAATCTTCATATCTTCCCCTTAAAACGATAATAATTATGCACGAAAGTTTATACACGCTGCGAGACTTTAACGAGATGAAGAATTATACGATGCGGTGCGATATAAATTTTGAAATGTTACACCCAAAACAAGGAATTCTAGTTGCAAGGCGCTATTTCCTAATTCCGTATTCCAAGCGAAAATTTTGACCGGAAGAATTAGATTTCCTCGTCTAGTGAAGTGGACTATTAGAAACCAGAGAGATATTACAACTTTTCTTCTTTTTTGTATTAAGTAGGAAATGTTCTCTTACTAGAAGAAATTGCTATTAAGGATCTTACATACTCGCTGCGGCCATCTTTTAATATCATTTATGATGTTAAAAGAGCGAGAAAACGCATGCTTAAAATTTCTACAAAGTATGTATATCGAAATAAAAATATATATCCAAAAAATAACACTTGCAATCATTTAAGCGCACTTTTAAAATATTTCGAATATTTTCCTTTTGTTGTGTTCTAATAATATTGATAAGTAATCGTAAAATTAACGTGGCATCCTTCCATTTTAACCAACCATTTATTTATTATCTTGTTATGATAATTTTACGATGATTTATTAATTGTTGAAGTAACAGAAAAGTATTCGCAGTATTTTAGAGGTGTGCTTAAATTAATTGCAAGTGTCATTTTTTGGATATATCCTTTTATTTCAATATACTTTGTAGGAATTTTGGGAATGCACTTTCTCGCTTCTTTGAAACGTCATCAATCAAGAGTTCCGTAGCGAGTGACCAGGAATCTTAAAAACTTGTACTGTAGATAAGAGACAAAATTACTCCAAATTTAAGAGTATTGCACTTAAAATATTTTCCTTTTGATTTTCGTAGGATCTTCTCTTTCTCTTCATCTTTGCCTCTTACTTTTTCTTTCTCTTTATCTCGGCTATATATAAAAATAAAATTTTCTAAGATACAGAAGATTCCGTTAAGGATGAGATTATCTTTTTCTGGATGTACAGAAACGCATAAACGCGGAGTCAGGTACGAAGTGAGAAACGTAGCGCAAATTGAGATACGCTTCTAATTTTCTGCGGAAGAAGTTCCGTCGTCGGCAGAGGCGTTCTTCAGAGAGCTCTTCCGCACCTTATCAGTCTGTCCTATTTCGAGAAAGTCATTGCCATCTATCAGAGCGGAGCTTCCCTCTTGTCGAGCTCAGCGCTCACGCAAGAGCTATTTTTCGCGGTTTCGCGAGAGCAGCGCGGGATAAGGGTAGCGGTATGAGAGGATGACCCATTGTACATCACATCTCTATGCCATCACCCTTCCTCGCTGCGGTATCACGGCGTCAGCCGTGTGGATGTCGAAAACGAAAACACGCTTTCTTCCTGTTGCAAGCTCGATTTAAAAATCTTCCCGGGCGCTGTGGCATCGTGACGCGGCATCTTTTAACCTATCGCTCATCTCACCTTTCCGCAGACAAATAACGCCGCCACCAGAAAGATCCTCTGAATACATCACCCAAAATATTTTGCACGAGGAGTATTTCGGTAATGTCGTTTTTGCGAATCCAACATGAATAATTCCTCACTCGCGATATCGAATAATGTCTATGTATCGAACAAAATAGCTTCCTCCAACGAGCCGAGCTTTGCATCGAGATATCTGATCGAGCGATTGTTAATTCAACGTTCGATAGAGCTTCAAAATGAGGAGAATAATTTTTTTTTTGTAGGGAAACGCCGCGTATGCAAGTGACGTTTCTCTGTGATATAGCACCGCCAAGTGGGAAAACCGCTGCGCTTATACCGCGAAATGATGATCCATTGTACGTGCCTAGCCGTAGCTTCATTCCTTTTTCACTCTTCTCTCTCTCTCTCTCTCTGTTCTTTCCTCTCTCCCTCTCTCTCTCTCTCTCTCTCTCTCTCTCTCTCTCTCTCTCTCTCTCTCTCTCT